ACTTGCCGCACACCTGCAGCAGGCAAGTCGTCCCGTTTTCCAGCACCAGACCTGGGGCTTACTGAAGTGCAATGCCTTTAGGGAGCGCTGTGGCAGAAATCTTCGGTGGCTCTGTAGTGGTTGCTTCCTGGCATTAGAGACGGTATGTTGCAATGCCAGGAGGTCCAACTCCCCCTGTACAGCAGCTGTGAACTGTGTTTTCTACCAAGCAAGAGATTGTAAGGGAACGACAAAATCTGCTGATAGTTCATCCTTACTCTGCAAGTGTCAGCTTCTTCTCTGAAGTAGGGTCTGGTCCCATATGAATGTAAAATCAATCCTTCTTTCCCCAGTCAGATTCTTGTGCTAGAAACATTATACTGGGATCATCATAACTACCTAGAGGGGGACACGAGTGGATCATTCTTGGACTTGGGAACTATGATACACTTTGGTTTTGGATAGATGTCTCGTGGTACTGTTCTGGCCATGTGCTCTGAGGCTATTAACAAAGAATGAAAATATAGAGCTAGTGCATTCAATCATTTAGGGCTTGACTGAGCACAAATTGAAATCAACAGGAACATCTGTGGCCATTGAGTCAAACCTTTAACAGTGAGAAGGGACAGGCAGGAGGTCAGGAGCGGAGAGGAAAGGAGCGATGTCCAGGAGGAGTGGTAGGAAGGAAGTGTCACGGCGTACATGAGAAAGAAGCAAGAGTTTGAAGGGTTCGGCATTAGCAGTGCTTTCTGAAGGTGCAGCGTGGTCCTATAACCCCATCAGTTTTCATAAGGAAGTATTGAATCCTAGGACTGGAGGGGTCAGAGAGGTTGTCTTGTCTATCCCCACCAGACCAGTTCAGCATTGACCATTCCCTGGACCATCACGGAAACCTGAGCACTTTCATTTTGGATCCTGCATGGGCTTGCTGGTCACCAAGCAGCTGGTGGGACAGGCAGGCAGTAAGGGTGGTGATTTAGGAGACAAATAGTCTAGAGCACTTTGTGTTTTCCAGTGCTGTTAAAGATTTGCTGCGCTTCAGTGTAGGGGTGGCAAGGTTTAAGTGGTGGGGAGTAAAATGACCCTTGCCTCCTTTACCTGCTTCTCAAGGATGTTGTATGACTTGATTAAGCAATATTCATAAATCTACTGAGCGAATGAAGCACATGTATATACATGTCAAGTGTCTTATTGCAGTGTTGGCTGCCTAGTCCAGAAGGTGAACGGCAGTGGATATAGCAGTGCAACATACCTAAAACTATCATCGTAAACCATGTTGGACCATGTAAGTCCTTCCTGGAGGCTGTTACTCTAACAGCACATAAGTGCTTTCTGACCATGTATGTTGAGCTTGCCAACCTACAAGGCTCAGATCCTTTGCCTAGATTTTTCCTTCTTAGAAACTCTCTTAATAAAATAAATCCAATCTTATTTGGGTTTCCTGGCCACATGGGCTCCAGCATGGCTATAGACATACCACACACACTGCAACATTGTGAGTGCCCTGTCTGTCTCAGCTGAAATATTTAGCACCGGCACAGCCAGGAACTGCTATGCAGATAGCAGACAAGCAAAAACTCTGACCCTAACCCTTTTGGACTGCATTTCTATAAGACGAGTCTCCTGCAGAAAACTGCCGTGACAAGAATGCTGCTTTCAAGATCAGCACAAAATCCTGCAGGCAAAAATCTTTGCAAGAGCACTTTCAATTAAGTTTCCTAAATCCGCAAGCTAAACAGCCACTCCAGCCTTTATTCTTAGCATGTGCCTGCCCTTTGGGACGCAACTGAGAACCTCTTCCCTTTATATCCCCCCAGCCACTGCCGTTACTGCAACTTTTGCTCTCATGTTCAGGGGTGTGTAGATGATGCTTTTCCAATATAGGGTTAAAGATCTATTTTGCCCTTGGTCACTCTACAAAGCATCCCTAGGGTGCCCATCGCTCTCGTTTCCAGCTGCCACGTGTGTACTTTGGTACCCAGAGAGGGAGTAAAACCCTTAATTTTGAAATGACGCACTCGCTATAGAGGACAAGGGTGGCTGAGAGAGGGTTGTAAGAGGATACTGTGCTTGGGTTACACACGCGCACAGCCCACAATGATGAAGCATGCTGGAACAGCAGCAAATTGGCAAGGCTGCTCCTCCAGCCTCTTGTGATTCCAAACTTGTTCTTTTAGTTTTTTATTCTTAAAAAAAAAAATAGAAACCAAACCGACCAACGCTAAAGTGGCTTAGACCCCCTGGGAAGCTCTGCACCCCTGTAGGCGACAGGGCAACACAACGCTTCCACTTGGACTTGCACAGCAGTACCAAATAGGATGGGGGGCGGGGAGAAGTGGACCAGAGTGAGCGGGTGAGAGTTGAGAAGCATCTGGGAAGCATTAGGAAGCCCAGCCTGCTTCGAACACGTTGTGAGAGTCGCAGGACGCTGCTGGGGATTGGTTTTTCTGCAGCAGCTTTTGGAAATATAGCCCTCTCCAGGGCCCTGCGCTCAGGGGTGGAGCGTGTTAGGGCAGCCGAGGGTAGCATTTAACCCATAGTTTCAAATAATATCTTATCCTAAATTCTTCTGTAGTGTTATTATGCAGCATTATAGAGCAGCTGTGCTGCACTCTGGAAGCTCATGCATTTCACTGGTGGGTAAAGTGATTCGTGAATAGAGAAATGCAAAATCCCACTATGTATGACGGGGAGGGGAATGTAGGCATGCAGGCCATCTCATAAACAGTCTTCTAACCCGAGGTGTAACTGGTAGAGTTTGTGCCCAGTGCCGCACTTTCCCCAATAGGTTTTGTGTACTGGGAGTGCAGAATGGAGGCAGAGGGGCTTAAACCTCTGCAAAGCGAAGTAAAGACAGGACATGCTGTGAGAGGAGGTGTTACTGCCAACATCCACGGTAGCCCTTTCCTGACCGCACACCTGCTGATTTGTTTGGCAAGTGAGGACTCGGAGGCCTTAATTCAGCAGCAGCTGCAGAGCCAGAGAAGGGTTAACCCGGCACCTGGTGGGAATGCACAACACCTCTCACAGCAGTGGCATCTCCCTTGAAGAGCAGGAGTGAGCAGTGCCTGGAGCCTTGAGTATCTATGCCTCTGTTCTGGCACCCTTTCCCCCATTTATGGACCTCCCCCGTCACCCACCTCGAGTTGCTCTACTGCTTCTCACTGTCACTCCACAGGGGAGCTGTAGTCTCTTGTGCTCCATCAAATGCAAGGGCTTTGCAAGCT